TTGTGCAAGCTCCCTCACTGGTGCAGACATCTTTTCCCTGGCTTCTTCTTGCTTCAGGGTCTTCAGCCATCTTTATCTGCTGAATCAGAATGACGTAACTCCCATGCATGTGCTTGGAAGTTCTTTAAGCCTGGTACCAAGGTGTGTCAAGAATCTACAGCTCAGTATACATTCTAAAACATCGTGCAAGGTAAGCAGCCTTTATTGCAGAAATAGTATGTATGTCTCTTATGCAATAACAAATCCTTCCTGCTTGCATGTTTTCAAATAAAGGGTTAAAAGAACTATGGGGTAAGTGTTTTTCCCCATAGTTCTCTTAAGGGTCACGGGAGGACATATACTAGCGTCCTGCCGTGACCCAAAGCTCAGTATATCGCGAGCTACAGCTCGCGGTATACTGAGACCGCTGCAGCCGGGACGGATCCCGACAATGCTGTCGAGATCCACCCAGATGCATGAATGACAGCTGCCTCTGTCCTCTGTGCATGCCCCCTCCCCCATCTGTTCCTCCAGTCAGCGCTAGAGGATCTTAGCGGGGAGGTGGGGAATCCCTGTGGGGAGCCGTGACTGGTCTCAGATGACTGTCTATGCAGCACTTACTAGCGTGCAGTGTCCCCCATCATATGTACATGGAAAACATGTAGTGACCCCCATCACATACAGACAATCAGCATAGTGACCCCTCTCTCTGGACATTCAGTGTTATACATGTGTATATGATATACACATGCAGCAGCCAGTACAAACATGCAGGGCCTCCCCATCAGAGACCCACTGTTCATGCTGCCCTGATTCACGCTGTAATCCCCTCACCCGGCAGGCTCCCTCTCCCCCATCAAGATGCAAAGGCCAGCGAACATCGGAGTCCGGATCATAGCAGAGCCGTCTCCTCCAGCACACACATACACACAGCATGGAGGGGGAGGGCGTCCACCCAGCTCTTCTCTCCGTGTGACCCGCTCTGCTCTGCAATCATCCAGCGCTCAACTGTCAGTGCTCAGATGCAGGCCAGTGGTAGGAGTTTTGCAGCGCAGGACCTGCTCAAGGGGCAGCTTCTTTGGGCCCCACAACAATGACTGGGCCCTGGGCAACTGCCCCTTTTGCCCTGTGTTAAAGACAGCCCTGGGTGCCCAAATGTATTTCTAAGGATAAAGGAAAGTAGAGTGAATCTGTGTTCATTCCAGACTTCCAGTCACATGCAAAGCCATGAAAATAAAATATTCTGCTTCACTTGTTCACTTCATCTCTCTCCACACTTTAGCGAGGAACTTTGCCTATGTCTTTGAAATTACAATAAATACACCTTTAGAAATGCTCAGTAATGACAATCTGCAAACAGATACTTCTCGATAATTGCAGGCCTTGTAGTCTTTGCACTCCTTATTTTTCTTTTCCTCCAGGAAGTGGAAAAACAATAATTGTGAGTAAAAGAAAAATATGTTTGTTTAACTAATGAATGTAAGATGATTTCATATCAGCATGCAGCGCTGTATGGTGATGTGATTTTTGGTGAAAGGGGATAAAGGTCCACTTTAAGTAAGTAAGGCCCAAGGGACATTAGAGATTGGTATATAAATATACAGAGTACTAGGAATATAATCACACACTTTTGTGGGATGTTTTAACACATAAAAAAACACAGGAGCAAGTTGGCCAACGATTTCCTATAAATGTATAATGTAATGAAGCTGAGAAACAATATACTAGGATACCAGTTTACACTTTAAGATTTAAGGCTGTTGTTTTTATAATCAAGTAGTGTATGAGCAGTCAGCAATAACAAGTGGTGCATAATTTTAGAAATCCTTTGTGTTAATAACAAAGATCATTCAGCATACTGGGAATTAATTCTATTTCGTTTCCAACTTGTTTGGAAAATTCCATTCAGCCTTTTTACTAGTAAAAAAAATTGTGAGGCAGTAGGACATGATGCAGTTGGTTCTGGTTAATCACTTACAAACGTGGTAGTCAATAAAAGATATTTCTGCGTACGCCAGTATATTGAAAAATACAGTATTATATAGTATAATATAGCTAATATCCATATAATCTCACCATTATAGACATGGCAGTTAGCTCCTGTCACTAATTGTTATATTATCCATCCATTATATTTTTTTATTATTATAAAACTTTGTCTTTTTTTCTTAAATTTGTTAAGATTCTTTAGTTTTTTTAAATAGGCTTAGACAAAACAAGAAACCGTTTTGGTCATTAATAATAGTTTAGATGGTGCTTTTTAGGCTTTAACAGGATTTGTGTGTATGAAGGTTTTACTGACTGCCTTCTCATCTAAATTCTCACATTACAGAGGGCAGAGGGGAGCAGCAGGACACAGGGTGATAAATGGCTTATTATTTCTCAGTAGAAGTTTTGTTGGTCTTATTAATATTATTTATAACCCCAGGTTATTAAATTAGGTAGTAGAAAATCTGATGATTTATGGGCAAGCGTATGAACTATGTAACATGTGAGGAGGGTCTGTCAGAGAAACACTTTAATCTGTCAGAGAGGAGGGATGTGTATATGACAATGTGACACAGAGGAATAGCCAGCGAGTAACGTCCCATTATCTGATGAATGGGACCAGTTGCTCTGTCATTCTTTTGGCCAAAAAAACATTTAACAGAGTTCAGCAATTTAAGCATTACAAGAAAATGAATGTTTAATCTAAAATTTGCATAGAACATATTCTGAAATTGCAGTTTGAAGAATGTATCTCTTATTTTGCCTAAATTAAAAAAATCTGGTATGTTTACAGCCAGCTCTTAGGTAATCGGGCTAATTCTTGGAGAGGACATACTCAAATTCAGTGTAAAATGTGGAATTAAATGTAAAATTGTAATTAATCCATGCACAATAACTGAGTATGGAATAAAAGATAAATAAATATCTGCTATATTGTTGTAAAAATCACTTGCTATTTTGGACCTGAGATGGAACTGATGACACATTAATATCTTATCTTTAAGGCGCCTTTCACACTATCAAATCAGGAGGGGATCCATGCACAGCCACCGCTGTGACATCTGTGTCTGACATCAAAATCTGAAATAACCAGAACCCATGTTGGTGTATAGAGAGTCAGATGTAAATTGACTTGTGTCCGTTTACATCAAATTACCCCCGATCCAGCAGGTTCAGGTCCGGCCAAACAGAACACAGTTACGTTTGTTTTTCTGGACTAGGCTGAAGCCGGGGGCAACAATATGTAAATAGACACCAGTCTGTTGGGTATCCAATCGGGTCCGTCTGAAAAACTAACAAGCGGACCTGATCGAACTACTCATCTGAAAGGGGCCTTAAGGATTATATTCTTTACTTCATGATATCTTAGTAAAGGGCTTTTTGAATCCCTCCCTTACCATAATCTGTCTGATCATCCTGTAGCTCCAAGCCCTGTTATGTTCAAGATTTGATGGCTGTATTATTATAGACTAAATGTGTAATAGAAACCTGTGGCTCTGTGTGCATAATTATGCTTAGAAGTGTAAAGAAAAACATTTAAATGATTGCTTTCACTATTATTTGAGTAAATAGATAGTAGTTTTGTACATACAGTACTGTGTAAAAGTTTTAGGCCGGTGTGAAAAAATGCTGTGACGTAAGAATGCTTTCAGAAATAAAAGTGTTAATAGTTTATTTTTATCAATTCACAAAATGTAAAGTAAATGAACAGAAGAGAAATCCAAATCAAATTGATTTTTGGTGTGACCACCCTTTGCCTTCAAAACAGCATTCTTCTAGGTACACTTGCACACAGTGTTTGAAGGAACTCGGCAGGTAGGTTGTTCCAAACATCTTGGAGAACAAACCACAGATCTTTTGTGGATGTAGGCTTCCTCAAATCATGCAATCCCAGACAGACTCGATGTTGAGATCAGGGCTCTGTGGGGGCCAAACCATCACTTGAAGGACTCCTTGTTCTTCTACACTGAAGTTAGTTCTTAATTACATTGGCTGTATGTTTGGGGTCATTGTCCTGCTGCAGAATACATTTGGGGCCAATCACACGCCTCCCTGATGGTATGGCATAATAGATAAGTATCTGCTTGTATTTCTCAGCATTGAGGACACCATTGATCCTTCTTACATGGGCAAAGCACAGAATAAGGCTAATGTCATATCTTTTTTGACAGAACTAGTATACTTATGTTATCTACTGGAATATGCATTTTATTGGATACTGTATTAAAGTGTCATGAGAGAAGTATGGGGCTGCTATTGTATGCTTCTGGAAATTATGTCTGTGTCTGACTTCTCTATATTTCGTTCACAATCTCAAAACAAGAATGCTGTTATGCTTAGCTTAGTCAGACGGCAGGCTTCACCACCCTCGGAAAAACGATCCTGTTGCTTTTCACAGGGCAGCGATACTGCTGCCTCCTGAATTCTATTTTCACTTTTTTTGGATGCCAAGGGGGATTTTTAATTGAATTCCCATTCATCTCTATGGTCATGTTTGGCAATTGGCACCGCCTGCTAAACCTAACATGTTGTATCATTTTTGCTGCTCTGTTAAGCAAAGTACCACGGAAATGTATACAGCATTGTCCAGCCGCAGTGCCAACATTACGGGTAACTGGGGAGCGGTAAAACCGCAGATCAACTGCTTGATTATACTGCCCCTCAGCCACCCATCTAACAAGGCCTTAATAAATGTCAGAAATGCCTATCTCTGCTTATTCTCAGTCAGCGACTCAGATAGTATCGAAGTCAAAGCCAGCAAGGGAACTAACATTCTCCAAGGAAAGTTCAGTAATACAATTCAATGCCATTTTGCTGGCATGGTCTACTGTTTTCACCATTAGGAAATGTGCCCTGAGAAATGGTCACCAGAACAAATATAGGCCTTAGATACAGCGTACACAAATTGTATAAAACTATATTGTATACAGTGTACAGAACGTGTTTAAAAATTCATATGGTGTATTGATGAGTAAAAATGTTAGTAGGCTATGACTTTTATGACATCAGATTATTAAATATTTTTCTTTCAGAGCTAAAGAATATGAGAGCACCCTGGAGGCTAAAACCCCTGTGTCTGACTCTCCGTACAAAGCTAAGTGCGTATACCTTGTATGCAAAATCAACCTTAATACTGATATTTAGTTAACACATTGATCACCTGAGTGCTTGATGTAACTTGTAAGTGATTTGTTTTATATTTCCAGATTGCAGAGACTTACCAAAGACCTTCAGAAACAACTGCAAACTCAGGACACTGGGATTTGGGCCACCAATAAAGTGTCCACTCTAGACAGAGCTTTAGGGGAAGTCTCACGGATCTTAGAAAAGCAGGCAAGACCTATTATATATATTTTGTTGCAATTACTGTATTGTAAGATATTGTATTGCAATTATTGTGCAGTGGGGGTATAAAAAAAGTTCTAGTATATTCATAGTGAAAAATGCTTTGAAGCATTAAAGCTTCCTCTTTGTTGTCAGGAACAATTACATTTATAAAGTTCTTTTTTCTTAAAGACAATTTTTTATTATATCTTTCACTTGCTGGTTTCTATGGGGGATGGAATAGAGAGGAAACCTTTGTCTATTTTGAAAAAAGAAAATCGAATTAGCACATTTCCAAAGCAGAATGCTAGTGCCATATTACACATGGTCCCATTCAGTGTCCAACCTTTAGGAAGGATGTGGTCCATCAGCTTTACTAACATTTGATGGAAACAAAAGCCATGCCCATGCCTATCTATAGAAAACTCCTGTGCAGTATAATTCCTACTTATTGCTTATTGCAGTGTCTCTTAAACTCTGCATACAAAGATTTCTAGGCAGGCAGAATTTGGCGGTGCTTTATAGATGACTGTACATATGTCACCATTAGTTTGAAGTGAAAGTGATTGAAATTTGTCACTGCAAAGTAAGAGAACCTCTGATATAAACATTTAAATATTTCAGCTGTTTTATATTTGCACTGCGTCAGTGGAGATATGTTGGAACTGTGTATGAAACTATGTGGTTATCTTTTGGGGCATATACTGTATAGTAGCTGTGCATGTTAAAGGAAAAAGCGATCTCTTGTGGCTCGGGAAAACTTTATCAGGGTTATACACTAAAGGGTGAAGGGTTTGGAGAAGGCAGGAGAAGTGAACAATCCAGGATTGTTCACTTTTCCATAATTTGGAAAAATTCTCCAATTCAGCTCATTTTCTGGCTCAGCTATGTTGCCCTAGATTGTTCACATCTCCTGCCTTCTCCAAACCCTTCACCCTTTTGTGAATAACCCTGTATGTATTGGGTCCTATTACCCCTCTGCTCCTTGGTTCTTATTTTAGGGTTTGGGTGTCCTTTCTCAGCTGCATTATTTCAGAAACGTGCATTCCATCTCCAGCATCCCACACTGAGGCTGACTAAGCCAAGTGACCATGTTTAATTGAAAATAACTTCATGGTTTGTGATTTTGAAACTCCGAACTTGTATACTACCTCACTTGGATGTAAACATTTTCCTTTGTTTGCATTTGGTTGTCTGTATGTAGCCACAGACCATAGAGAATTTAAAGAAAAGCAAATGTGTCCATCATGTTTTTAAAGTGTGGTTAAAGATTAAACTAGCACTGCAATATCTAATGAACTAGTCACAGATACTATATTTCATCCATAGCATAGTATATAAGCAGTGACATTTATTTAGCACGTAGTCAACTGAATGTGACTATTTGACATTTCAGTTTTCTTTGGAACCTTCTCAGTCGTTTGCAGCAATTTATGCAAAATGCAGTCATTTTCAACTCATGATATGTAGCAAGGTATCATTTCATGCTTTGGCTCAACTTTCAAAGTGTGCAGCATTTGGATGATAAAATTCCAGAGAGGGCTGTATTTTGTAGCCTTACCCAGTCAGATCCTGACCATAACTGTTTGTTATCAGATATCGGATATACCAGCACTGCTACGGAGAGTTATTCCCATTAAAAGCCACAATTGAAGGATTACTTGGAACGCAGTCTTTGCCTTCCCTCCACATGTATATTGCTGCCAATCAGATAGCAGAAAGCTTTCCATTCTACAGAGTTCCCCATTAACTTTAAATCATGTTCTCAAAATTGAAGCCATTAGTGGGGCCCTAGTGGGGTAGTATCACTTCCTGCATTAATATCTTATCGGGAGTACCCCAATCCCAATAGACATTACTAAATAACAGGTGAAAACTGCAGCTATTAAATGTGGTTCCCAAAAAGTCAGATATTCCTGCGAGCAAGATTTGTGATCAGATGTGACACTATTACTTTTACAGTATCGCAGAGTGCTATAGAGTTGGTACTGAAAGCACAGCCGACATCTTAGCATTGCGATTCCCCCTGGGATTGCTAATTGTTGTTTATTGATATAAGCCAAGATGTATTTTTTTTAATAAGCTTTCTTCTACAGTTAATATGTTACATCTGTTCTGGAATCATTGTTTACGCAGGACTCATATCTGTACTTTTCTACACTTATTTTGTTACAGGTTTTGCATTGTATTGTGTCTTTTAACAGTTTACACAGTGAAGGTTTTATTTTGCAGGATTTTTCTTTGTATATTGATAATTTATATGTCAAATTGTCCATCTAAAGCATGTTTATGAACCTAAAGCATTTGTCCATCTAAAGCATGTTTATGAACCTAAAGCATTTGTCTATCTAAAGCATGTTTATGAACCTAAACAAGATTTAGTACATTTTTTTTCCTTCTGTTTGTGCATCCAAAATAGCAGGAGAATCTTAGTGATCTGATCAATAAAGGTTTGATCAAGAAATTATGTTTTTAACTCAAAGTTATTATAAATGTCAGCCCATGACTAAGTTATCATAATCACTATCCCGTGTCTAGGCTAAATGTTCTATTTAAGGTACTGCCCACCTTCTAGTAAAGACCTTTAAAATTTTCTTTCAGCTGGAGAGTAATGTCTAGTGCTTTTTATCTCCTCCTTTCTTAACCCCCCCTCCGATAACTGATTGTGTGGCTGGGAAGGGAAAGGCTTCTGTATTAGTGTGACAGTGCTGGGAAGTAAGCTTATCTTTGTATTATAGCTTGTGACCCTTTAGTGACTACTTTGAAAAAAGCATATTTACTATTTTGATGATGTTTCCTGGACTTTCATTTATATAGTTCCATCATGAGTATTGCAAGAAGTTGCTGAAGTATATTTTTTTTATGAATTTCTTACAGCCTTGTAAACCTAATGTATTATCTGAGTTATTCCTGTGAGAGTCATTCTGTGTATTTGTTGTGAAATATCCTTTCTGACTCCCAAGAGAGTCATCCATTTTTTAGTGGTGGATCAATAACCTTCCAGCAGATGGATTTAGCAATGTTTGACCATGCCCGTATAAGATCATTTTTAAAAGTGGGTAGTAATTCTCTTGTTCGGTGGGCGGAAGAAAGCACCCTGATGGTGTGATCCATTGACTAGTGGGAATACAGTTGACACTGTTAATTGAATTTCCCATGGGAGTTGTTGTATAGCAAGAAGCAGGGCTGTTCAGTATGAAGGCTGGATGCATTGTGTATTGCTGCTAATCGCTGAGATCAGATACAGAATACTCTCATGGGAGGATGAGAGTGCAGTACAATAGCTTTTCACTTACTAAATGGACTGCTTTATGAGCTTCATCATAATAAAGGTACCCAAAAGACTTTCTCCATCCCTTTGCACACATATTAAAATATCCACACTGGCATTCGGTTTTAGGGGGTATTACATATATAGAAATTAACTGAAATGGGAACATGTTAATTACATAAGTTTCTTTACATCAGAGAGTTCTGTAATGTTTTAATGGTGCTGGAGATAGAATAATATAATGTAAAGGGCAAATTATACATGCTTGTTAGAACTTGAAACTGGGACACTCTGGAGGGAGGTAAATATGTGGGGCCCACAGTGTACTGTGTGCACATTTGGCATGGTCCAGATGCACATAAACCTAAAGGACCATTTAAAAAAAAATAAAACAGGATATAGACAGAGTGCTAATACTTTTTCTGAGCCTCCCTTTAAAGAATGACGTCATTAAAACAGATGGAAACTACCTAACAATATGCAACTATTGAGACAATAAACACATTGGTCAGAATGTAAATGTATAGCGCTGCTTACAGAATACAGTGGTTAGCACTATAATACTATACAATAGCATGTATAGAGTACAGCGGTCAGGATTATGTAATATACAACATATGTGTCATAGTGCCTCTATTATTGCTGGTTAGTGGAAGGAACAAATGCCCTGGTTTCAGTGGTCAGTGGAACTAAAAAATACCCATGTGTCAGTCATCGATATGAGGAAATAAAATACCCCATGACAATGGGAGGAAAAAAAATACCCCATGACAATGGGAGGAAAAAAAATAATTTGTGTCAGTTGTCAGTGGGAGAAAAAAAAAATTACTTGTGTTACTGGTCAGTGTGAGGAAAAATACCCTGGGGTGAGTGGGAGATAAAAGTGCCCCAGTATCAGAGGTCAGTGGAAACATTGTCTATCCGGAAAAGAGCATTGGTGCTGGGGAAGGGGGTGGGGATTGTACCTTTTGATGCAGGAGACTATGCAGCACAGTTGAGGTGCGTCTTTCAACTATGCCGCCAGTCCGTCCTGCATGGTCCCTCCCCCTCACTCTCTCAAAAACGTCATCACTCTTTCCTAAACTAACACTGGTCATCCCCAAAGCCCCTTTAAAGACCAAGGAAAATAAATTATGTGTTTCCCACATTACACACTTCCCTGTGTGATGATCCGGCGCCGGCTTTTACCTCATGCCTGAGCTGCTCGGCTTCCTGCCAATCCGCTCTGAACCTCTCCATTAAAAGTCCAGCTCACTTGTTCCGCTCCGTTCGAGCAACGTGTCTATACACTCAGTCGGACTCCTTATGTATCGCTTGCCCTTGAATCTCTGTGGATTGCTATTACCTGCCTTGTTCCCTGTGTGTCTCTGGTTTCCCTCATACTCCCAGTGAGATCCTGCATGTCCAGCAGGAGGATTGTTATGATCATCTTCTTCAGTGAGCCCTTGCACCTGTGCTTACCTGTGTAGCTGCTTGTTCCATGCAGCCTTGCTCTTCAGTGTATTCCGCATAGTCGTGTTGTTGCTGCCTCCTATCACACCATTGTTCGGACTTCAACCCTTTTGTCCCTCAGTATCCTGAACCGCTGTCTGTGTATAGGCTTCACCCCTGCCTGCTGTTGTATCCAGCACCTCAATGCTGAAATTAGGCTCTTTGTCTGTGTGGGCACGCTAGAGGGCCGCAACCTGGAAGGGGTCCAGCAGCCAATCATCCTCACTATTAGTGGCTCTGTCAAAGA